ATCTGATAAAGTCGGCCTTCCAGCTCTGAGTTTCCGTTAGAATCGGGCTATTTCAGTTGGGCCTAATTGCTATTTCTGATTTTGAAAACCTTCCTCTAAAAGTCTAAAAAGATGCAGAATAATAGGAGTGTTGAGAGGACAATCCTGCAGCATTTCACTGCTCTAGGGGTTTAAAAACCATGTACTGCATAATGCGTGTAGTCCTCAGTCACAGATTTGTCAGGTGGTTGCTGTGACGTTTGTTTGTGAAGAAGGATTTTTAAACCTTTTTGAAAACGACCTGTGTAAAGAAATGGACTTTACTGACATAATCGAAGAATGTGCTGCCAAGAGAGCTAGACAGCGATAATAGACTTAAATACAAATGAAAGTGTTTAATTATTAATGCAGAATTGTGTTTACGAATGAATTACAATATCATTAAAATAAAAATTATCCAACTAAATTAAGTTTCTATCAAATTTATATGAAAATACCCTACAATTTGCACATTTGACGCCTTTTTTCTATTTTTTCTTCTAAGGGGGGCCTGCAATATTGTGCTGCCCTGGGCCCTGCAAAACTCATCCACCCTGACCCAGGCAATTAGCTTGATTGCCCTGATTGCTTCTGGCCAGGTCCCAGTTACAGAGCGGTAACGGAGGAAGGGAGATGCTGGATTCTGTGCAGTGAGGTGCAGACGAGGGGCAGGAGTTTGTTTGGGGTGTCCCTGACTCACTTGTCGTCCTGTCTGGCTGGGTTAGAGGGGTGGGGAGGAAGCAGGTTTCATGGGGGGGATGAGTCTGTGCCAGGAGGACTATTTGCATGATCACGTCACACAGAGTTTACAGAGCAGTTAATGGCTTACCGGGCACAGGGGAAGATTCTTTTCAGAGAAGTTTTTGGAGCGTTGCCGAGATCTAAAAGAATTTTTTAACTCCTGTGTGACTCATTAATACCCGGTCATTTGCATTGAGGCCGGATCTGTGCTATGTGGTAGAGTTCTGGCTCTTCTGAGTCCAAAGTAGCAAGTCCTGGGCGTGGTGCTCGTGTTGTAGCATGAACCCGCATCTGCAAGTTCTTTGGAACATGCCTCTGACTACAGCCCCTGAAGCCCGGTGTGAATTTGTTCTGGGGCTTCTTTGAGTTGGTGACACAAGGGGGACACGAAATATTGTGCTGCCCTGGGCCCTGCAAAACTCATCCACCCTGACCCAGGCAATTAGCTTGATTGCCCTGATTGCTTCTGGCCAGGTCCCAGTTACAGAGCGGTAACAGAGGAAGGGAGATGCTGGATTCTGTGCAGTGAGGTGCAGACGAGGGGCAGGAGTTTGTTTGGGGTGTCCCTGACTCACTTGTCGTCCTGTCTGGCTGGGTTAGAGGGGTGGGGAGGAAGCAGGTTTCATGGGGGGGATGAGTCTGTGCCAGGAGGACTATTTGCATGATCACGTCACACAGAGTTTACAGAGCAGTTAATGGCTTACCGGGCACAGGGGAAGATTCTTTTCAGAGAAGTTTTTGGAGCGTTGCCGAGATCTAAAAGAATTTTTTAACTCCTGTGTGACTCATTAATACCCGGCTGATTGCATTGAGGCCGGATCTGTGCTTCGCGGTAGAGTTCTGGCTCTTCTGAGTCCCAAGTAGCAAGTCCTGGGCGTGATGCTCGTGTTGTAGCATGAACCCGCATCTGCAAGTTCTTTGGAACATGCCTCTGTCTACAGCCCCTGAAGCCCGGTGTGAATTTGTTCTGGGGCTTCTTTGAGTTGGTGACACTCACAAGGTGACAGTTTCAAACCAGGAGAACCTGTATCTGTTTTGACAGGTCTGTGTCACTTGCTCTTGTGAAGCAGGGAACCTAAACAGCCCCCAGAGAAACTGTGTACGCCAGAGTGAATGCCTTTTACTCTCCTTTCCACTGTCAGTGTTAGAGAAAACAAGCAATGGTCTGGTAGCACTTTACAGACTAACAACACGTGTAGCTGGTGTCATGAGCTGTCGTGGGCACAGCCCACTTCTTCAGACGATCCACGCGTGTTGTTAGTCTACAAAGTGCTACCAGACCATTGGTTGGTTTTTTCTGTACAGACTAACTCAGCTGCCCCCTGACGTACGTTAGGAGAAAGCCTTGCTTTCCTATGCAGAGCCCCGGGGCCGGACGAAGGAGGCAGCCCAGCGGCAATACAAGACTTCGAGCATTGTTGAAACTTTCGCTGAGTTTGTTAAAATTGTAACCCCCTCTGGATTCTCACAGGTTTACAAGAAGCTGTTTTGTTAAACCTTGTTGTCTCTGCTCGCTCTTTCCTTATCTCACCCCGGACCCTCCGCCCCCCAGCGGCTCCATATCCTTGTGCAAAGACCCGTCCCTTCTTGAGCAAAGAACCAATAAACTAATTGTAGCTGGTATAACGATGTGTGAGACTTAAAAACAACAAATGCTTTATGGACTAACACTTTATAGACTAACAGCACATGGAGATGGTACCAGGAGCTCTCGTGGGCACAGCCCCCTTCTTCAGATAAGACTTGTACTGTTGATAGTTCTTTGGAAGCTGCTGTCCAGCCCTCCCCAATGCATTGCAAATAAACCTGATTAGTATTATCTGTGTGGCTGAATTCTCGGGAAAAGAACTCCTCTGTTTACCAAGTAAATATTGTGTTACTATTTGCAAGGACAGCCTGGTTATTTCTGGTTGCCCCATAGATTTCTTCACCTGGTTTGTGAGTCTTACTGTAAATACTCTGCTTCGCAGGGTGCAGCAGAGGGTCAGGAGGGAATTTTTAGTTTCAGGTGTCCCCCAAGACGAGCTATGGAGCAAACAGCCAAGGCCACAAGAAGAAAGCAGATGGGTAAGAGAAGAACAGAAGGAGCCGGTTGTGTTGCCAGCAAAGAGCAGCAGGCAGAAGTGGATGGATAAATGTCGGTGGGACTTCTCAGGTAAGTCATAGGGTCTTATGCCAGGTAATATTTTAATTAGGGGTTGAGAAGAAACAAACGGGTAGACGGAGACCTGGTCTATTCTGCGAACGTATCAGTATAACTATGTCTTGGAGATTGCGTTCACCTGTCTGTCTCGCGGCCGTTTGTGTCTCTGTGTGAGTCCATTTGCTCCAGAACTTGCAAACAGGAGGAGCTGGGACCATCCAGGCTGGGATGCAGCTTCCTCTTCTCCTAACAGGGGCAGGGCTTGGCTGTGCCAGGAGAACGGGCAGTGCCCAGAATGGGATTGTTCCCCGTTACACGGAAAGGAGGGGGAGGTGCAGAGCCGAGGGGGGGGGGGGGCGGCCCCCCCAGAGGAGAGTGGCCAGCCTGGTTCCAGCCCCCTCGGTAAGCGTCCAGTGACCAGCCTTCCGCCCATCCCCAATCACACAACCAGATGGTCACTGCTTTGCAAGGAGCAGGTTTAATGCGGGTTAGAGAGCCCAGAGGACGGGAGCAAGAGGGGAAAATAATTCAGAAAATGAAGAAACCCACAACAAATATCAGTGAATTCCAATGAAGGGAAGGATTTGCCAATATTAGACCAAGTCCACAATGGTAGAAAGGTAAAATGGGGTTTAGCTGCAGGAGAGGAGGTTTAGATTGGACATTAGGAAAAAATTCCTAACTGTCAGGGTGGTCAAATATTGGAATAAATTGCCAAGGGAGGTGGTGGAATCTCCCTCTGGAGATATTTAAGAATAGGTTAGATAGACATCTGTCAGGG